GCTTTGACACCCAGCTGCCTGCCTGACTTTCCTCAGGCCTCTGGGGCTGGCCGCTCCCTCCCTTCCCAGCGAGCAGCAGCTCTTGCGACTACCCGGCTTTCTGGCCCCAGGTGCCTTCTCCGTTAGGCCCCCTTTCCCCCTGAATCTTCGTGGCCGAGGGTGGGAGAGAAGCCTGGGAGCAATGGGGTCTTTCGGGGAGGGGAAGGCTAGACTAGTGCCGAAGGAGAAGCGTGGAGCTGCGGAGGGAGGGCGGGCGACCTTAGGCTTCGCGTGGGATCGTCCCTGAGTTGGAGCTGGAGAGGCGGGAGAAGTTGTGGGACTCCATCTTGGATAGGGGAAAACGGGGAGAGGGAAATGAAGATGGGAACGGACAGACTTTTTCGCCTGTCGAGGATGCGGACTCTGAACGTTGCTCCAAGGCCTGGTAGAGTTAACTGCGGTTGGGCTGTTTCTGTTGAGGGTGTTGGCCTTTCCCGCATTTTTAGAATCACTTGTTTGATGAGAGTGGTGGCTATATAAATTAGATAGACAAGACGTTCATTCAACACAGCAGCGGATCAGAGCTCTGCACAATTGTAGGCGCTGTTGGACTTTTGATTCACATAACTTCTGGTATTGCACCTCTTCCCTGAGATGTTCTTTTTCAGATACACATTGACACTAATGACAAAACAGAAGTACCTTTAACAACAGATGGATTTTGTTTAAAGTCCTTTTGCTGCTGTATTGAACTATGCATTGGGGAAGGCAAAAAGAGGGGGGGAAATAAAAGATAAGGAATGCTGCAAATTTTCATACAGAATGGAAGATGGAGTGGATGGAAGTTGTGAAATTGTATATGTAAACAATGCCTAGGGGCTGTATTGTTATAGTTGGACTTCTGGGAATATAGAAGAACTCAGATGTGTGGATACTCATGGTCTCTTTCTTGTCCCTTAAAATGTTACACAGCTGAAACGCTTCCTTACCAAATAATTAGAACATCAGTTTTTGAAATTCTGTAAGTATGTACTCTATTCAATAGGGAACATTTATAGGCATCCTTAGAAAGCCATGTGGATGGAGTGCAAGTTGTAACTTCACAACACAAACCCTAATTTACATGAGTTTCAATGTCTGATGCAAGTACATAAATATAAAATTTGCTTGTTAAGTCATAATGCAAGTTTTGTCGGTTACACCCTTTCTCCTTTTAACTTTCTCTACTTATGGATCCCTATGTGAAGATTCTTCGAGAATCCAGTGAGAAAGAAGTTACTTCTGTTGTGTAACTATTCTCCTTCTTTTTCTGAGAACTGCCAATGCAGATGGCATGATTCATATTGCTGTGTATTTCCAGAATATGAGCTTGTACTAGGATTCTTTAACTCGGATTATATGCACTTTGCATCTTATTATCATTTGTCATCTACTGTCTTACCATCATTGATAAACATTGACAGGCAAGAAATGTCACAGAAGAATGTGAATGTATGCATGTAAGATCTTATAATTTGACTTTTTGGTCATCTGTAGATTCATAAATCTAAGCAGAAGAATATATATTGTATTTCTATGCTGTGAAATATCTTCCTGGTGAATCATATTTGCACCTGTAATGTAACTGTTCTTGGTGCTTATACTTGTCTTATTTTTCCACATCTGTTTCATTTGAAAATATATATATATGTGTGTGTGTGTGTGTGTGTGTGTGTGTGTGTGTGTGTGTTTTATTTGTGCTGATAAATAAATAAAGGGAG